GGGCTGAGAGAGCTCTTGACAGAAACTGCTCTTTTTCAAGGACAGCTGTGCCAGAACTACGGCTTGCCCAAGGTCATCCAGCCAGGTGCAAGTGGAGGAGTGGGGAATCAAACCCGGTTCTCCCAGATTAGAGTCTGTGCACTTAACCACTACACCAAACTGGCTCTCTGTGAGGCACACATACAGCAAAAGACAGTACACCCACCACAGTTCAGTCCACAATCCCTATCCTCTTTACCAAAGCATCTTTCTGAACCATTTCATTACAATACAGCCCTATGACCTGTGTAAAAAAGGTCTCCTGAACAATTCAGTTTTGCATAGTTTGAGGAAAGCTAGAAAAATGGGAGCTTTCCTAACCCCATGAGGCAGGCCAATCCCTAAGATGGGGGCCCAACAGAGAATGCAGCTGTATGGGCAATTGTTGTTTTTGCCTGTCTGCAAGGTGGTGTAAACCCAAAAGGTTAAGAACACACAGAAACACACATACAAAAAATGCTTGATACAATATAAAATATTATATATACCTACGTCAATTATGTGCATGTAACAGCTGTATTTTAATATGCTAACAAGTCAGCAACTGGAAACAAATGTGCACATACAGCAAGATAAAACCCAATGCCAAGTAAAATACAAAACGATACCAAATGCGTGTCAGCACACAGCCTTCATCAGCGGCTTACAACCATCACTAGCACAGTCATAGCCCACTAACACTGTGAAAACCATAATACTTTGCAAGAACCAGTTAAAATAACTGAATTGATAGCTCTTGGAATATGTTATGAACTCCTTATACATCATCAGGCTTCAGTTATTTCTACACATCTGGATATCTTTGGCCCAATTTATAACACCAATAGTTGTGAGTGTTTCACCAGATTTGCAGGGTGGCACAAGCAGCCGGCCAATATAATCTCAAAAGAAGTTTTAATTCCTATTGATATTAATCCTGTTGATGTGGGAACAGGAAGGGCTGGAGATCAGAATTTTAATAAATCAGTATCAATATACAAACAGCATGTTCATTCAGGGGGAAAAACCCCTGATACAATCAATGTCAAACTAGCCATGACTACAAGTGGCATGTGACAAGGTTTTTAAAAGTTTGCGTAGAATTGCCATAGTGGTACCTGGTACATTTCACTGCAACTTCTAACTATCATTTACAATGTTCTCTCTATGCCTGATTATATCTGTGTTGTGTTCTTACATAGAACGCGCATGTGGTCGGGTCCTCACACAGCCATGCAAACGGTTTAAGCTTCGCTCTCAGAGACAACAGCCAGCACGGATCCTGGAACACACCCAGTCGGGCAGTCAGGATCCTAGAGTGACCTATGGGATGCATGTGCACTGTAAATAATCCTATCACAGGTGTGGGTGTGTGTTTGGGTGTGGTTCACTATGGGAATATAAGCAGGCCTCCGGTCCTGTTTTCCTTGTCTTGTTTTCCCGAGCTGAAATAAACTATGAGCTGTTTCACTTACCAACAGGTCAGGACCCAGTACTTTTCAATCTGCCAACTGCGGACACAGCATCTGATGAAGCAGGGCTCTAATCCACAAATCTAATCCCTCTGCCACAAGAAATCTGTTAGATTTTTGGGTGCCACAAGACCCCTTTTAGGATTTCTCAAAAGTGGTTGCTATAGGGAACCTGGCTCCACCAACCTCGCTCTAGAAGAGTGAGATGATTCTTTCAAGGAATACCACATTGAAAAATGTAAGAACATAAGAATTCTCCCTGTTGGATCACACCAATAGTCTATCTAATCCAGTATCCTGTCTCACACAGTGGCCAACCAGTTTCTCTGGAGGCTCAACAACAGGGCATAGAGGCTGAGGCCTTCCCCTGATGTTGCCTTCTGGCTCTGGGACCTGGATGTCTCTGAATGTGGGGGTTTCCCTCAGTCACCATGGCTAGTAACCATTAATCCACATATCCTCCATTAATCTATCTAATCCCCTTTAAAGCTGTTTATTCCCGTGGCCATCATGACATCCCCAACAGTGAATTCCACATTTTAATCACTCTCTGTAAAGTAGTGTTTCCTTTTGTCCGTCCTGAACCTACTGCCCATCAGCTTCATTGGATGCCCTCTAATGCCTTCCTCGCCATCTCCAACCGAGCAACCCGCTATTGTTGCTGGACCGTCAAGTCGCCGACGGGCCCACAAGATTTTCGGGGGCCGACACTGTTAAACCTCCAGGTCTAGAGAGCGGACATCCCGGGCCAGGACACGGGGCCCCAAAGGAAGCTTTTCTCCAGCAAGTCTATTTCTTGTCCTTTCAGGGATTCAGAGGGTTAAAGTGATAGAGGGGCGCTTCCTAGAGAGCCAATACAAGTCCTCCCACTTCCGACTTCTGGAACTGGCTTTGCTGGAGGACCGAGGCTGGAGCCGGACTGGAGGGGAAAGGCTGGAAGGGTAAAGAAGAAGATCTGGGGGGTGGAGGAGGAGGAGGAGGGGTCTCTGCGGAGGGTCTGGCGAGCAGAGCAGGTCCGGGGGGAGGATGTCGGGCGTGCTCCTTCTCTCTCTGCTCACCGGGCGGGAGGGCGGCCAGCTCCGGATCCGGCCCTCTGAACGGGGCGCGACTCTGCAGCAAGAAGCCAGGAGGGGATGCGGTTTCTCTCCAGGCCGGGGACAGATTCCTTTCCTGATCTCTGCAGACAGGAAACCTCTGCTGAAGGCACAGGAGCCGGGCAGCCTGGAATTTATCCCGGTCACTTGGCAACCCCAGTGAATGGGCGGGCGCGTGGGTTTCTTGTAGGGCTGCAAGGGGCTTTGCGGTTGGGGGGGAGGGATAGAGCTGGCCCCATGGAGACACCCCCGCCCCCAACTGTCTGAGAAAGAGGAGGGCACCTGCTCTTTCTGGGCATCAAAGTGATCTTTTTCCTGGGGCTAAAAGCAGATTCAATCCCCTGTGGCGTCTCTGGGGCAAAAAAGTTGCCCTAGTGGGCAGATTTCGGCATCTGACTTCCCAAAATAACCTTTTCTCTGTTCTTTGGAACAGGAGGAGGTGTGGGAATATAGTTAAGCCTGCCTTTGGCGATGGCGAGGAGCACAGTTGTCTCATCACATGGGATTCCCATGGAGCGATCAGGCCATCCCACCTGCCAACCCCGATCGCGTTTTTTCTCCTGATCTGTAGCTTTTTCACCACCACCACCCCACCTCCCAAGTTGGCGGATCAGGAGAGTCCCAGATGGAGAATTTGGCTGTGGAGGGAGGTCAGGAATCCCTTTTCTTCAGTGTATGCTCCTCAAAACCAAGAAGTTAAATTATTTAACTGGAGTGGGTGGGGGCTCTTTTGAGGAAGGAGGGAAATTCTGCAGTGACTGTAGCCTCTTAGGCAGGGTGCACCTATTCTTGCCGAAGTCTCCCACCTGAATGTCTTTTCTCTGAAGGAACTTTTCAGGAGAATGTTTTCATTAAGAAGGGATCCTGATGTGATTTCCATGTTGGTGATTGGTCATTTTAAAACCTATTCTTTTTACTTCGTAATCTGCCTTGAGGATTATCGAGGAAACAGGGCTTGAAACCCACTGGGCTCAATGCCGCTTTGGACTTGTCATGTTTTTTGGGTGAATAAAATGATCTACTTAGTGTGAGATTCCCGGGTTGGATACCACCAATCTATTAGGCTTTTCTGTAAGTGACATGGGAGTATGGTATGTTGGCCTCCCTTGGTACAATTAACATGTGACACGCACCACTATTTATAATGAAGGTCTTTGTAGAGTGGGCTAAGATGTATTATCCGGATGGAACTGTTACATACTAGAGCTATTATTAGCCACTTTTGGTAAGTCTATATGTACTACCTCTTTAAATTTTGTATATCTCTCTTTAATATTTATTGATGTATAATATTAAACTAGCATTATTATTATACTTTTAGAATTGATGCACATATTTTGGAAACTCATGCTTTGAAGAAATAACAACACAAACTGTATGTATTAAAATATTGTAGTTTTATTGAAAATGATTTTTGTAAAAAATTTCCTAGGAGTTGCTATCCCTTGTTTAAAATTGTTGTTCTTTGTAGGACGTTTGATAAAGACTCAGGTCGAAACGGACTGTCAAGCTCGAGAAAGTTCGTCCTTGCTTCCGCAGTTTGAAGACTTCGGTCTTTTGATGTTACTGTTTTGCTGAAATATTAAAATGTCATTATTGTTAGTTTTGTAAGTATATGAACTTGTGCAGCAAAGTTCTGTCGGGAACCATTAAAATAAATCCTAAACCTTTTAATTTACACATTTAACAAAGCGGTAGAGGCATGGAAGTGATGCAGTTTTGTATATGAGTTGTTCGCAAGGGGAGAAAATAATGTGGGGCCACCCCATCAGCAGTTGACTGTCTCTTCTCTCTCTTTCCCATTCCTCCAGGGAGAAGCCCAGTCTGGAAAACGATAATATAAATTTCAGTTCTGCAGTGCCGTTCCTGAGGGATCGTTCTGAGGTGAAAATGGAGGAGCAAGATCACACAGGCCCCAATTCAGGGGAGGTATCAGAGTGGGTAAGAAAAACCCCTCAGGTCCTTCAGCTTGGGAGTATGAAGGGAATCCTGGAAAGGAGACCAGGAGATGTGATGAGTCCATATGGAGTGGAGGGTTCTC